TTTGGCAGGCAAATGCTGTGCGCAAAGCAGGCTATAGTCTTTAATCATTATTTGACTGCCTCCTAGTGCTCCCACTGTGCAACCATAAGAAATATTATAAGATATTGACTAGCAACATCCGTGAGTAGAAAAAATGCAAAAAAGTTGAATCGCCATTTTTCAGCAGCGACCAAAATCCAATTTACTTCTGCTGCATCTCTTTTACATAATTTAATTAAACATGATAAAAATCATCTTAAACAAACAAACTTTGAAAATATCTTTTTCACATACTGTACGCTGTTAATGCTTTTTTTTTAGCTAAAAGAAGTAAACATTTTTCTTGATATTTTCATTACTTGTCTTGTAAGTATTTCAGCAATTAGCCGTGAACTACAGGGGTAATTAGTAATTGTTCTACCTTCCGTTTCGTGTTCTTTACATTTATAATCTGAACAGACTGGCCCATCGCGACAATAAACTACAGAGCAAGTATCCATAAAAAGCATCCCTTGTCTGCGGTAGTCATTTTGAGATTTCCCGTACTTATAGCTAATTCATCACACAGTGCTTTCACCTTTTGTATTTGTGGAGTATTGAAAAAGCTCACCACCTAAAAATACTCGCAGCATGAATATGGCTGTGTCCTTTCTAGTACAATAACAGCGTGTTTTTTTTGTCGATAATTGAGCACTAAAATCTGTATTTTTGTGCATCATGACCCTTTTACGCAGCAGAAAACTTCTTCAAATACAAAAATACGTTGTATTCCAATTATCCAGTACATCAATCAATCGTAAGTTGTGGCATATCTTTATGTGAACACGATTAAACATGGCAAACAGCAATAAGCGCATACATTTTGAATATTGTCTTGATGTGAGTTAAATTTCTCCTCATAAATTGGCCATTTCAAATGGTTAATTTGGCGTCAATTTTTATCTTGAAAATATGTTATATCGCATATTTCTGTAACTGGGACAAATTTTTCGAACTTTAAATTCTAAAAATTCACTGAACATCTCAAACATTGAAAACGCAAAGTTCTCTAATTAGGTTGTTTTTATAGGGGCTGAGGCTCTGTGCACGCCACAGAAATGTCGACATTGGATCATTGGACATCCTCTTGAATCTTCCCATGCGCTTTTTTCTTCACTTTTTTTGCGTTCGTTTCGAAAATATATTAATATCGTTATTTTTAATTATTCTTATCAAATCATTTTATCCGAGTTCGTACAGCTGCCACTTATAGTGGTTTGTCTCGGAAAATAATTCCATGAAACATTTTGCCAAAGAAAAGATTGTTTTGGAGTTTGTCGGCTAATCTGATAAATTATTCCATTAGCATGTTTGCTTAAATTTTGCCTCCTACTTCGGTGACAAAAGCAATTATCTTGAACACACTTATCGTAGCGATAATAATTTACACAGCTGTCTATGGCCGAAAAATGTCATCCGAAGCCCCGGAGATTGACCTAGACGCTGTTTATAACAATAGCGTGCGCTAGAGGTAACGAAACAGTTAACAATTAAGCTGTGGACGCAAGGATCTCCTGAAGCTGCTGTCTGATACGTTGCTTCGTTACTTTTCTAATCAGCAAATTATTCAAGGTTGGGAACGAACATGAATTCTACGGCTAATGGAAGTGAAACGCCAGTCTTTGATCCGAAAAATATCGCGTTTATAGTTATCGCACTGTTGATTGTGGTATTTAATGGTTTTGTAATATATATTGTGAAAAATCGAAAAACACCACGTAGTATTGGGAGCAGTGAGAATAGCATTTTGACAAGCTTAGCTGCAAGCGACTTTTCATCTGGTGCTATTGGCATTCCTTTAACGTTTGCGTGTACTTACGCTCCTCCCAGTTATTGTCCAATGTGTTCCATAAGTTACGACTTCATAAAATTTGTGTCCATTTCCACAGTTCTTCATATTTTAGCTCTTATTAGAGAGAGAAGTCTTACAGTGGCTCACCCGCTTCGCCAAAGAAGCAAGAAAGCCAACATTGTATTGATAACAGGGATTTGGCTGTGTAGTCTGTTTATATCTAGTGTTCCCTGGGTTTGGATTGTTGGAGTCCACGGCGTTTGTTCTAATAAAGGATTTGAGGAAACGTGGAATCCATACATCGTACACGAAAGTGTTTGTTTTCTGCTGTTTTTTGTCATTCCGCTGCTCTTTATTAGCATATTTCTGGGAAGAATCGCAATAGCCGTACATCATTTCACAAAACGGTCTTGCAGTATGCGCAGCTTTAAAAGCGTCAATGAACAAGCTCGATTTCGCAATAACGAAGTGAGAATTTTCTTCCTATTGCTTGGCATATTTCTCCTTTTTGTCGTGTGCTGGACACCGTACTTCGTGTTGACGCTGTTATCTATTCATGATGTTCACATCGATGTCCCTGACTGGCTTGAGTTTGCCGTGCAATTCTCACGTTGTGTAACAAGCTTTCTAAATCCATTCATCTATGCCTTTTATCGAGAGGACATTTATCAAGTCATAAAAAGAAAACTGCGTCGCTTGGATTTTTCTTCTAGTGTCTCTCGAGAAGATACATCTGTCTTCCGTCGTCAAAAAGCCACTCAAGTAACACTTGAGCTTGTTTCCAATTGAAACATCAAAATGCAAGAGACGATAAAGTGGTGACCGCATTCTAAATATTCACACAAATTTTTCTGAGCCCTATTTTACGAATAATGATAATTCTGATTTATAGCAGGATTTGAACTTGGATACTATTCTACGGCACAGAGTCTGGTACGTTTCGTTTTTAGACTTACACGTGCTCTTTTAGCAGAACTATTATTCCATGCAATTCTGAATATACAACTAATATTATATTATACTATTGTATTATACTAACTACATTCTAAATATACAACTTTACATGCGTGCGTATATCATATAGTGCGACCAACGCCTGCATTCCAGAAGCTTGCGGCTTTACACTCATTAAAGTGCAACTCGGAAATCTCTCTCCCACTGATTGATGGCAACCTTATTTTTACATTAATGAAAGACTTTTCTGGTGTGTTTCAAATCTTGTAATCAGGTAGATCTAAAGCCCCACTCAGAGAGTGAGTGTGAGCAAGCTTTTAGAATACAGGTGTAAGTCTGCACGGGTGCTAAAATAAAAGAATATTTACAATTTGCCATACGCTGGGAATTGCATGGAATAAATGTTATGAGCATGGTCTGTCCAATGTGAATATTCTACACGCATCGCATATACTTGAAGCAGGGCGTTAGTAATAGCTAGAGCGTTAATTGGGGTGAATATTCTACACGCGTCGCCTATACTTGAAGCAGGGCGTTAGTTGTAGCTAGAGCGTTAATTGGGGGTGAATATTCATATAATCTGTTGTGCCCGACTGATATCTTTTGAAAGCCACTAAATTGACTAAGAACTCAGTCGGGCACAACTGAATGTACGAAAAAAAAACCCGCACGCCAATTAACGTTCTAGTCACGGCCTTGACTTGAAGCTATATAGCAGGTTTTCACGTCAGGAAAACTTTTTATTTTTTTCCATTATGCTTGCTTACGTAGTCTTATCATCGTAACTTGGAACTTAACATATAATAAATAGTGAAACGTAAAATAATAAATATTTATAACTATATCGCTACACTCGCTAGACGCTTTCTCTGAAATCGGATGATATTTACTAAAGTTAACTTGAAACTTTTGTCAATAATTAACGTAGCTATATGAGAAATTCTTCAACGAACAGTTGAACGTTGTTGAAAAGTATTGGAAAAAATCCATGGTTCTATGACAAAAATATTGAAAAAGTGTTGTGTTCTGCTCTCGTGAAGCTTTTAAAACGACAAAAGTTTGAAATGGAAAGGACGAGTGCGCTAACTTATTCAATCTTCTTGACAAAAGGATTGCAGTCGGAAAATATTTCGCTTCGGTTGCTTGTACATGCACTGCCTCTAATTAGCTATAAGTAAAATTTCTTCATTAATGTAAGTTATAAATCTTGAGTTTATTGCAAATTTGAAAGTTTCCCTCATGAGAATTTTGATAAATACTCAAAAACTGAACTTTTTTTGTTTTCTGGGCTCCCAATATTTAGATTATTTTGGACGGTATAGGCGTAAACACATTAGCTAATTTTTTTAGTGTGAAGGAAGCTTTTTCACAGCTTTTATTGTGGACCAATTACCAAAACCACACAAGTACGTCATGGGGAATATAAATACAAAAGCAATTAAGGAATATGCAAAACATTGTATAAGCCCTGGCTCGATTATTTTTGCTCACGTATTTATTAAAATTGGCTTTTGTGATTTGCCCTTGGCCTTTCTCCGATGTCGACAAGCGTTATCTTGTTATCGAAACACTTGTTTTGTCATGTACAAAACGATTAAGATAAAACTGATATGGTTGCTATGTTTAAATTAAGAAACACCGCAAACTAAGTGAGGTTCTTGTAATGTTAAAATCCTTATTGCAGATAAGTTGTATCGCAAGACGCAAATTCAGATAATTTAAAAACTTTCCAAAGGTGGCGTTTGGTCTTATGGAGAGACTGTATTTTTATGAAATGTATGTATTCTCACAGGGCCGTTGCTAGAACCTTATTTGGGGGGTGGGGGAGGGTATCTAAAACTAAATCACTTTCAAATGAAACCATTCGGTCGCAATTGCATATGCGAATAAATACCCTTGTGTTCACTCCTAATTCTAATCGAAAGTTTATCTACGGCAATGTATTCAAGCCACAAAAGTAAATTAAGTGCTAGCGACAAAAGTAAACATTTCTCTTTATATTTCATTACTTGTCTTGTAAATATTTCAACAATTAGCCGTGAACTACAGGGGTAATTAGTAATTGTTCTACCTTCCGTTTCGTGTTCTTTACATTTATAATCTGAACAATCTGGCTCATCGCGACAATAAACTACGGAGCAATTATCCATAAAAAGCATCCCTTGTCTGCGGTAGTCATTTTGAGATTTCCCGTACTTATAGCTAATTCATCACACAGTGCTTTCACCTTTTGTATTTGTAGAGTATTGAAAAAGCTCACCACCTAAAAATACTCGCAGCATGAATATGGCTGTGTCCTTTCTAGTACAATAACAGCGTGTTTTTTTTGTCGATAATTGAGCACTAAAATCTGTAATTTTGTGCGTCATGACACTTTTACGCAGCAAAAAACTTCCTTAAACAAAAATACGTTGTATTCCAATTATTCAGTACGTTAATCAATCGTAAGTTGTGGCACATCTATATGTGAACACGATTAAACATGGCAAACAGCAATAAGCGCATACATTTTGAATATTGTCTTGATGTGAGTTAAATTTCTCCTCATAAACTGGCCATTTTAAATGGTTAACTTGGCGTCAATTTTTATCTTGAAAATACGTTATATTGCATATTTCTATAATTGTCACAAATTTTTAGAACTTTAAATTCTAAAAATTCATTGAACATCTCAAATATTGAAAACGCAAAGTTCTCTAATTAGGCTGTTTTTATAGGGGCTGAGGCTCTGTGCACGCGACAGAAATGTCGACATTGGATCATTGGACATCACCTTGAATCTTCCCGTGCGCTTTTTTCTTCACTTTTTTTGCGTTCGTTTCGAAAATATATTGATATTGTTATTTTTAATTATTCTTATCAAATCATTTTATCCGAGTTCGTACAGCTGCCACTTATAGTGGTTTGTCTCGGAATATAATTCCATGAAACATTTTGCCAAAGAAAAGATTGTTTTGGAGTTTGTCGGCTAATCTGATAAATTATTCCATTAGCATGTTTGCTTAAATTTTGCCTCCTACTTCGGTGACAAAAGCAATTATCTTGAACACACTTATCGTAGCGATAATAATTTACACAGCTGGCTATGGTCAAAAAAATGTCATCCGAAGCCCCGGAGATTGACCTAGACGCTGTTTATCACAATAGCGTGTGCTAGAGGTAACGAAACAGTTAACAATTGAGCTGTGGACGCAAGGATCTCCTGAAGCTGCTGTCTGATACGTTGCTTCGTTACTTTTCTAATCAGCAAATTATTCAAGGTTGGGAATGAACATGAATTCTACGGCTAATGGAAGTGAAACGCGAGTCTTTGATCCGAAAAATATCGCGTTTATAGTTATCGCACTGTTGATTGTGGTATTTAATGGTTTTGTAATATATATTGTGAAAAATCGAAAAACACCACGTAGTATTGGGAGCAGTGAGAATAGCATTTTGACAAGCTTAGCTGCAAGCGACTTTTCATCTGGTGCTATTGGCATTCCTTTAACGTTTGCGTGTACTTACGCTCCTCCCAATTATTGTCCAATGTGTTCCATAAGTTACTACTTCATAAAATTTGTGTCCATTTCCACAGTTCTTCATATTTTAGCTCTTATTAGAGAGAGAAGTCTTACAGTGGCTCACCCGCTTCGTCAAAGAAGCAAGAAAGCCAACATTATATTGATAGCAGGGATTTGGCTGTGTAGTCTGTTTATGTCTAGTGTTCCCTGGATTTGGATCGTTGGAGTCCACGGCGTTTGTTCTAATAAAAGATTTGAGGAAACGTGGAATCCATACACCGTACACGAAAGTGTTTGTTTTCTGCTTTTTTTTGTCATTCCGCTGCTCTTTATTAGCATATTTCTGGGAAGAATCGCAATAGCCGTACATCATTTCACAAAACGGTCTTGCAGTATGCGCAGCTTTAAAAGCGTCAATGAACAAGCTCGATTTCGCAATAACGAAGTGAGAATTTTCTTCCTATTGCTTGGCGTATTTCTCCTTTTTGTCGTGTGCTGGACACCGTACTTCGTGTTGACGCTGTTATCTATTCATGATGTTCACATCGATGTCCCTGACTGGCTTGAGTTTGCCGTGCAATTCTCACGTTGTGTAACAAGCTTTCTAAATCCATTCATCTATGCATTTTATCGAGAAGACATTTATCAAGTCATAAAAAGAAAACTGCGTCGCTTAGATTTTTCTTCTAGTGTCTCTCGAGAAGATACATCTGTCTTCCGTCGTCAAAAAGCCACTCAAGTAACACTTGAGCTTGTTTCCAATTGAAACATCAAAATGCAAGAGACAATAAAGTGGTGACCGCATTCTAAATAGTCACACAAATGTTTCTGAGCCCTATTTTACGAATAATGATAATTCTGATATAGAGCAGGATTTGAACTTGAATACTATTCTACGGCACAGAGTTTGGTACGTTTCGTTTTTAGACTTACATGTGCTCCTTTTAGCAGAACTATTATTCCATGCAATTCTGAATATACAACTAATATTATATTGTACTATTGTATTATACTAACTACATTCTAAATATACAACTTTACATGCGTGCGTATATCATATAGTGCGACCAACGCCTGCATTCCAGAAGCTTGCGGCTTTACACTCATTAAAGTGCAACTCGGAAATCTCTCTCCCACTGATTGGTGGCAACCTTATTTTTACATTAATGAAAAGACTTTTCTGGTGTGTTTCAAATCTTGTAATCAGGTAGATCTAAAGCCCCACTCAGAGAGAATGAGTGTGAGCAAGCTTTTAGAATACAGGTGTAAGTCTGCACGGGTGCTAAAATAAAAGAATATTTACAATTTGCCATACGCTGGGAATTGCATGGAATAATTGTTATGCGTATGGTCTGTCCAATGTGAATATTATACACGCATCGCCTATACTTGAAGCAGGGCGTTAAATGTAGCTAGAGCGTTAATTGGGGGGGGGGGAGGGTGAATATTCATAAAGTTTGTTGTGCCCGACTGATATCTTTTGAAAGCCACTAAATTGCCTAAGAGCTCAGTCGGGCACAACTGAATGTACGAAAAAAAACCCGCACGCCAATTAACGTTCTAGTCATGGCCTTGACTTGAAGCTACATAGCAGGTTTTTACGTCAAGAAAACTTTTTATTTTTTTTCATTATGCTTGCTTACGTAGTTTTATCATCGTAACTTGGAACTTAACATATAATAAATAGTGAAACGTAAAATAATAAATATTTATAACTATATCGCTACACTCGCTAGACGCTTTCTCTGAAATCGGATGATATTTACTAAAGTTAACTTGAAACTTTTGTCAATAATTAACGTAGCTATATGAGAAATTCTGCAACGAACAGTTGAACGTTGTTGGAAAGTATGTGAAAAAATCTATGGTTCTATGGCAAAAATATTGAAAATGTGTTGTATTCTGCTCTCGTGAAGCTTTTAAAACGACAAAAGTTTGAAATGGAAAGACGAGTGCGCTAACTTATTCAATCTTCTCGACAAAAGGATTGCAGTCGGAAAATTTTTCGCTTCGGTTGCTTGTACATACAGTGCCCTCTAATTAGCTATAAGTAAAATTTCTTCATTAATGTAAGTTATAAATCTTGAGTAAATTGCAAATTTGAAAGTTTCCCTCATGAGAATTTTTTTAAATACTCAAAAATTGAACTTTTTTTGTTTTCTGGGCTCAAAATATTTAGATTATTTTGGACGGTATAGGCGTAAACACATTTGCTAATTTTTTTAGTGTGAAGGAAGCTTTTTCACAGCTTTTATTGTGGACCAATTACCAGCCAGACATTCAAAACCACACAAATACGTGATGGGGAATATAGATACAAAAGCTATTAAGGAATATGCAAAACGTTGTATAAGCCCTGGCTCGATTATTTTTGCTCACGTATTTATTAAAATTGGCTTTTGTGATTTGTCATTGGCCTTTCTCCGATGTCGACAAGCGTTATCTTGCTATCGAAACACTTGTTTTGTCATGTACAAAACGATTAAGATAAAACTTATATGGTTGCTATGTTTAAATTAAGAAACACCGCAAACTAAGTGAGATGCTTGGAATGCTAAAATCCTTATCGCCTGAGATAAGTTGTATCGCAAGACGCAAATTCAGATAATTTAAAAAACTTTCCAATGGTGGCGTTTGGTCTTATGGAGAGACTGTATTTTTATGAAATGTATGTACTCTCACAGTCTGTTGCTAGAACCTTATTTGGGGGGGGGGTATCTAAAACTAAATCATTTTCAAAAGAAACCATTCGGTCGCAATTGCGTATACGAATAAATACCCCTTGTGTTCACTCCCTAATTTTAATCAAAGGTTTATCTACGGCAATGTATTCAAGCCACAAAAGTAAATTAACAGCTAGCGACAAAAGTAAATTAAACGTCAGCCACAAAAGTAAATTAAATGTCAGCCACAACAGTCGATGCTTTTCACGGGTCATTGAAGCAAAGAGAATTTAAACCTGTTTCATGCGCGGTAAATTTCACACTTGTTCATGCACATATCTGACCTAAAGTAGCTATATAGTAGTCTGAAAAGTATATTAAAACTTTGATATTGACTGTTTGCGAAACTCTGATTTACAATTTATAGTAGATTGTAGTTTAATCATGCACAGTACGATCTTAAGAATGACTCGATTGAATCAAGTAACTGTCTTTTTGTATGATCTAATACTTCAGGCTGGTAGGCGACATGATCTAATACGAAAGACTTCTCGAAGGACAAAATCTATTGGCTGATTGAGCCGACTTTATCAATGAGAACTGGTACTACTGATATTTTTTGACACTTTTTGGGTTTTGGACGATGCTTGAGTGCGGATGATGTAGCTAATAAGATATGTGATTTTCTCATGCTAAAGTAATTTAAAACCAAAATATTTTTATAGCAGGATTACTTTTGATTTGAAATAAGCTGCTTATAGCGTCATTCTATCAGCATTCGCGAAGGAGCAAATCATATGGTATGAAGAAGTTTTCGAGATATTTAAGGCAACAAATATCTATCCGCGAACTGCGTCCAAGGGATAAGTTTGCGCACGTATCATGTACTTGTTTAACGTTAATAATAACGGCTTATTTGTTTGAAGTTTTTTCATCTTGTAATTCAGCTTCTATTTTATTATTACATTCATATAACCTTTAACGTGCATGAAGCTGTCTGTAAAAACTGTCAACATTGTCTGATGTGCACATGAATAATAAAAAAGGCGAAAGATAGGATGACGCCAAACTGTTTGAATACGGTTTTCGAACAAGACAAAAGTGTCTAGCAACTGGTTAACTCAATTGCTAGTTGCTTTTGTCCCGTTTTCAAATCGTCAAAATCTGCTGCTGGTCATTTAAAAGATGAAATCCAAGAAGAGTGTAATGTTGTGGCATATAAATTTTGTATCACAAATCTAATCTTTTTTCACTATTTCCTCGTTATGATCATCGCTAATTATCATTTGGAATCACCCTGGATATAATAATGTGAAAAACAAAAGTGGACGATCCCACGCAATCAAACCTGCTGAAAATGAACACCCTTATATATTTTAACTTTCATTCTCTTTTATCACGAACTGAAAGCCTGTATTTCTGTCAGTTGTTTGAATGTTTTGTTTCTGAATTTATTCTTTATGAAATTTTTTTTAATTTTGAGGAGGCATTAAGGGGAGAATCTTTTTTGGACTGTTCCTCGACACCGAAAAGAACACGTGAGAATATGATATCCTACTTGCTGAATATGAGCTAGCAAGCACACAATTAAAGTTTGTCTTAGAGCATCTCGTCTTTTTTTCCAAAGTTGTCTCTAAAAAGCCGATTGCTCAATAGCTACTTCAATGTTATTGCATACGTTGGTGTACTCAGCTTTCAGGACAAGTCTAGAACAAGGCATGCTAGATGTATCATTATGAATATGGCCAAAAACAAAACGACGGAATGCACATAATTTGAGAGAAATGGTTTAGATGTTAAGATGGTTCATCTTTTTCTCCCTTTTTTAACTCAAGCATGGACGAAGGTTTGAAAAAGGAATTCATATTGTCTTCAGTATTTCTTTCATCTTCAACACTTAATGATTCCTTTTCATAATAAACTTTAATTGAAAATGTTCAGTTCAGTTTATAATTTCTCTAGTTTTAGGCATAAAAGCCCATTAAAGACCTGTCACTTATTTTTAAAAATGTGGACGCTTTCTTTCTTCCTCTTTAAGCGTTCTTAGGTTTTTTGTGATCTTAAGTGCTCTGAAGATAAGGCAAGAAACCTTTTCATTGAAGTTTAGCGGATATGTGATTGCAAGCTCAAGTATGGTAGCTATAAAATTGTTTATATTCGTTGGTGCGAAAAAGACAACCGAGAAAAATGTCAATTCGTGAAAATCAGGCAGGGTTGAGAAAGTCAGCTTTGACTTTGAATCATGAAGATAAGCTTTAATTAATGGATATGCGATTTTTGCGTACTAAACTATTTGTACTTGTTAAGTATTAAACATGCTGACTTTAAAAAACATTGCATATAGTTACTGTTTTGTCTGTTGGGATTGCCACTATGCATTTTTTATTCTAGAATATGATTGTTCCGTCATACATCCACTTTCATCTCTCCCAATTTTCCTCACATCCTCCATCGCCACATCCATCCATCTATTACATGGTCTTCGTCTTCTTATCTGCGCCGGCACTGCCATCTTCAACATATGACTATCTAAAATCTTACATAATCCTATATTTTCTACTTAGTTCATCTCCAAAGCACTACAACCTCGTTTGTTCAATCTTTCTTCAATCGTTAGCGACGATTTCAGTTTCTCGAATGTACTAATTCCAGATTGTGTCTTTTCTAGTCACGACATGTGCTCGCCTGACCATTCTCAACTCTGCTACTTCTAATCTTTTACTTGTTTAAGGGGCTGTTTACATGAGCCCCACAGGGAGGGCTGTCCCTATCAATTAAAATTCCTTATAAAATCACTTTTCATTTACAGGAGAGGAGGGCCTCGCTTTTGTTTATCCGAAATCTCGCCATGTGGGGCTGGAAATTTCCCATGTAAACGCGTTCGGTAGGGCTGAAAATTTAACACATTTGCTTACGATAAGGCATCGCTTTTCAGCAATGGCAACAAGAAATACATCTAAGAGAGCAAACAAACTAAGAAAGCGTAAAAAATCAAAAGGCGACAACTATATTGGTTTGTTTTCAGCTATTTTGTATTTTAGCGCCGAAATTCGCAGTTCAAACCGAGCTCTTGCATGTACGGCTAGAATTTGCATGTAAAAAAGAGTTAAAATACAGCTCTACAGAGAGGGTTAGCCCTATCCGTAGGGCTAATATAAACAGCCCCTAACTGTCACTGCCACCTTTGCCACTACATGCATCATTGCTGGTCTAACAATGCATTCTTATAAATCTTCTCTTTAGCTACTTTTTCTTCTAGCTACTAGCCCTATAAATCTTCGCTTTAGCTTATAGTTTCTTATTACAAGGCTCGAACTCACTACTCAAGTATTTGAAGTCAGCTCCTTTGAAACAAAAATATGTTTCAGCTTTATTGTACTCATCATCATTATATAGTTACTATACATTACGGAACACATTAGGCAACTACCGCAAGAACACGGAAAATATTTTAATTTATTGTTTAAGTCAGATCACTCAATGTAACAAATTATCAAGCATTTTAATTTTACTGTTTAAGTCAGATCACTCAATGTAACAAATTATCAAGCATACAATCTTATTGAATTATATTCCAAGAGACTTGGAAGATTAAGGAGAATGTCTTGTCCCTTTATACAAACTTGTTGGCTCTCGTATTTTATCAACTTTCACTAATATAAATGTTTCGAAAAAAGCTTTTTTCGAAGAAATTCACAATCGTTTCACCGATATTGCACACCTATTTAAGATTAACTTCGCGACATCGTCCACAAATTTTGCATATTTCATACTAGAATGTCCGAGTAGCTCAATTCTATTACTATGTAGAGCTCTTTACCTCGTGGACAGTTCGTCTTTTTCCTAGTAGCTGTTCTTCAGATTTCTGTACGTCTTTCTCATCTTCAATGTCCGTTTGTAAACCTTTTTCAGGAATATTTGGTTTCGGTTTACGCGATCTTGCCAACATGTTCAAGAAATTGTCTTCCATATCTTTATCATCTTCATCATTATCGTGTTTGCCTGTAAAACATATTTTAATGCATTCCTTATAATTATGTAATAAAAATCGCCGATGTACACAGCAACAAACAAGAGTTTTTGCACATATGCGAACATGTCCTTGAAGAAAATGGTAGTCTCACAAAACAATTATAAAACTAGCTAATTTTTGAAAGATTCAGTTAGTGAGAAAGCTTGGAAGTTGAACACGTTTTTTATGGATTAGAATGATGAAAAGCTCTTAGTTTATGGTACATTTTCATATTTTCTTTTCCACAAAATTTTCAGTATATTGTTTTGCTACAGTTATGTATTAAGGGGCTGTTTACATGATCCCGGCTAACCGAGTTTCAGTGAGGCCTTAAATGATTTCGAGGCATTGAAAGGAGGCAAAACTTCAAGGTTAAAAACTACAAGTTTTAAACGCCACTAGTCATTCCTGCAGTAATTCTCAAGTTAGAACAAATTGGTTTTTTTAATTTTAAATTTTTTGCGTAGTTATTAAATTAGAATATTGTGAAGTTGCGCAATCTGATGATTTGTATTGAATCGTTTCCATTTGCCAAAATTATTTTACGCTTGGCTGAATCCCGTCTACCCGAGCTCATGAAATCAGTCCTTAAGCACACAGGCAAAAAGGGGCCATCTGCAGCAAATAAGCGTGAAGATTGTGTTCTTGAGGCTCTTGCTAAGGTCTAAGAAAATATGGCGATAGCTACGTATTCAAACAGTTTTTAGTGAGTGATAATGGTGTTGAATGATTTCTTATATAAGCATTGTTTGTATTGTAAAGTTATTCAAGATAATCTCTCAACATACTTGATAAGTTATCTGTTTTCAAGGTTGAATCATACAAGATTGCATTTAACGATACTACTGTTTTATCACAGCTGTCAAACTTACCAATTGCTAGAACTTTTTTGATCCTTTTGTTATGGTTGGCGACTCCTCTGTTCTTTTTTCGCTTAAATTTGATGGCACCGTGAGTTTTTTGAACGAAATGCTTGTGCTTTGATGATTTTGACATCTTATTGTGGTGCTTTTGTTTCTTTGAGTGTGCAGCTGGCTTGATTACAGGTTCTGGGGCAGGCGCAGCTGTTGATCGTGGTCTCGTAAGCGCCGGTATTAATGTCAACACAATTGAAAGAGGTGCCGCTTGAGTTGTAGGCTGGGTTGTCTGTGGTTCAACAACAGGTGCAGGCGTTCCAGGAAGGGGAGATGCCGCAACAGATGGTGTAATTGCAGCTGGTGTTGTTACCTGAGACACATTTGGTAATGGAGCTGGTGTCACCTCTAAATGAATGAAGAATATGATAATGATGCTTTGCATTGTTAAAACATCAAAGAGTGTTGGTTTTTTTTTAACTTTCAGCTTTGGAATATTTTATGATGGCACTTGTAAGTGGAATGATTTGATTAGTGGAATAAGGAAGATAATTGGATAAGGCTTATGTGGAAATCATGAATGGAGATAACGCCTTATCAAATAAAAAATATTGCAACGAACTTCTACCAACAGGTCGAGGTTTTGCTGAAGAGGAACTAATAAACTGGAAATAATGACGGTTTTATATAGCAAATAACACACAATTTCTCCAGACTTGATGTTCTTCAAAGTCTCGAATTACTTGACATATATTGTAATATTTTTTTAATGACTTAACTATGTTTACATCATCTTTAAAAAGTACTTGCCTGGGACTGGTGTTGTTGAGATACTTGATCCTGGGTTATATGGGTACTGTGTAGGATAAGGATAAGGATACGGTGCTGGTGGAAGAGGTGACGGGGGTCCTGGAGGTATAGGGGCTCCCAGGGGTAGCGAGGGTCCTGGAGGTGGAGGGGTTCCCAGGGGTAGTGGGGGTCCTTTAGGTGGTGGGGGTCTTGTAACTCCTTGTGGATATTCAGTAGGTGGAGGAGTCTGATTGATTGGAATCTGCCCTGTGATTGGCGGTACTCCTTGATCAGCATCCGTTACTATAGAGGAGAAAATGAACAGTTTTACTTTTACAATTTCACAAGGTAAACCTTTAAAACATGTCACCCTTACAAATTCTTTTCTTGCAAAAGAAATAAAATCTGTTTTCACAATGAAACGTTCTCCATTGTCCATTCATCTGCATAACCACGCAGTCTTCGTTTTCGTCCATGCGATCATCAGACATATGATCGCTCGCCCAATAAAAGAACGTTCCTTTGTTTCCATCGCTCCATCCAAAATCACCCTCCTTTTCGCGATCGTTCATTCCTAACCATGTATGTCTGAGAAATGGAAGTAATGCATTACTTTTTTTTTGCAAATCAGTACATTGACAGCGATTTTGCAGATTGCATTATACCAGTGTAAAATTGCGTCTTTCTTCCACACAACAATACTTCTAAATTCACGCGTGAGCATGAAGCAAAACGGTGAATTTAGGCATCCCACATCAAAAGAGCTCACATCAGGGTGATATGTTGGAAATATGAGGTACCCAGCGATTGTGAAATATGAAAAAAACATACTGATTGAGGAAAAAAAAGTTGGTTCGATTTTCTTTCAAATACTGATGTTACAAGTTTAACCCCAGTACATATTGTATAAAACCTCCACTTTTTGGGAGTGTTCACCCATGCGTGGTGGTTGCACTTACCGCATACAGGAGAACCATATAAAATGGAGGAGATTTTTTAAAAATATGTGCTTCTGGCTTACAGATATAGATGCATTCATTTGTTTGGTTTACTAACCCACAAGTAAGCAATTCCTCTTGTACGAAAGCCTGCTCCTCGTGCGAGTTGATACTGACGAGATCACCGCCAAGTGTTACACATTTGTCTCTTGCCTGAGACCAACTAAGGTACTCCGTCACAAGTTGATAACAATATGCATATCGGTCGGTCATAAAGCGTTTCCAGAACAACGGACACTCTTAAAACGTTTAAAAAAATAGCAGAGATTTAACTTGAAGCGCTTTTAAATTTAAAAATTTCGTGGTATGATTTTGATATTTAATTTAGGTTAGATGCTTTGACTGCTGTATATGACATCATAGTCAAAACTTTCGTTCTGCAAGATGACGCAAATAGTATCGATAGCATCAAGTTACATACTCCTGTGTACCTAGGATGGCCCAACTAATGTGAATGGCTTTAAAGTTGCATATATCTTTAAGCAAAGAATGGCACCACTTTAACTCTCCCGTGAATTGTTGAATCATTAGTCAAACCTCAATCGCCACATAATGCAATGCAATCATTGATGTGAAAGCTTTTCAAACCATAAAATGTTTTTCATTCTCTCTAACTTCAACTACTTTCTCGTTCATCATAATTAAAACCGACAGATCTACTCACTTGGGTTATTAAATCTCATATCTGATTTTCTTGCATAGTTAACACCCATCCATTTTGTTTGAAACGGTCCAAATGCAGTCGGGCCAGCTTCCACTAAAATTCTCGAGGAAACGTCTGAAGTGTCGTTATAGTCTGATATGATTCGGACTGAGTTGATGTCAACAGGTTCCAGAAAATCGTACCCTATCCAGTCTCCACCGGCAATTCGTTCCCACCAGCCATCTGGTAACCACGCTGTTTGTCTTTTATTGTCAAATGCTTGGGAGGCTGGAAAGAGAGATAGGTGGAACTTGCTATTGCGCCTTCAGGGTCAGTTGTGGCCAGCGGTGTTGCGTCGTTTTGACTTTTGAAAATTGAATTTCGCTGACGAACCAAGTTCGGTTGAGTGGTGCCCAGTTCACTATGCGCCAAAAACGTTGAGCTGCATGTGAAAATGACGAAAAGGTCAATGGAAAATATCAAGATCTCTCTGTTTTCTTTGGCATTGATCTAAAGTTAAGCTTGCTGTTTCACTTATAGAAATTTAAATGAAAAAGGGTCTTGTTGCTCCACAAACAACAACATATACAAAAGAGCTATTAATTTTTGTACTCAGATTGAAATCATCATGGCGGACTAAATTTGACTGATGGGCGCTAGGGTGATTTTCTTGCAGCATTTTAACCAAAACTTCCTACATATTTTATATCTTGTCATGCTTAAGTTGGAAACTGTGTAAGATTTTTAGGACACATTTCATCAAACAGCCCCTCACATATTTCACCAAAATTTCTAAACAGCAAAATGTCTCGTCGTATTGATAGGGGAATGATTAAAAGACGAACACAGGACACTCAATTGCTCTAATCCAATTTCATCCCTCAATATACTCACGCATTTTATCGACTTCACAATATCCACACGAGCGTTTGCAGTACGCGTACATTTCATAACGGTTTTCATCACAATGACAACGTTTGCTAGCTAGTGCGCATGTGTCCGACCTAAGTGGATGATCCATGCAATTGACTAAATTATACGAAAGAGGTTTATTGATACTTTTATGTAATTTTCGATTGTTAAGTTAGCACATGTATAAGTTTCTCGTTAAACTCACCTGGATTATTGTTGTTTGTTTCGTTATAATTATCTAGAAAATAGAAAGCCTTAGCTGAAATTTTCGGTATTTAGAAGTAACTAAGGTCGATTGTCCGGTGTTCCATCTATAACAGCATATCTTTCTTGGCGTCCATCTTCTCAGGGATTCCTTGTTCTCAACCCTTCTATTAATTTTGGCATACTCGCATTCTCTTTCAAGTCATTTAACATTCCAATTTACTTTTCCCTCGAGTCTTTCACCGTCAACTCTTCCCTCAACAATGGCAATTCATTTCAACAAGTCATTATCACAAACAATTATTCAATCTATCTCTTTATAGTTCTGACAATTGTATGTAGCTCTCTCTTTTCTTTACATGTTTGTAAATGTAGATCGTCCAGGTTGGTATAGTCCTGAGAAGGACTGTTTTTGTTGTTGTTGGCTGACGTTTCGACAACCTTAGCGGTAGTCATCTTCAGAGTCAAATGAGGAGTAAGCGTTAGGTTAGTCGTATTTGTTATCTGGTTCTTACGTCATTGTATTGTGTGTACAGGAAATGTGTATTTTTTTTCTCTCTTTTCTACTAAAATTAACTGCATTTTTTTATTTCTTTTTCTTTCTGTCCAACTTACTCTTTTCATCCTTTATCAGATTCACAACTCAAATGCCTTTTATCTTGTGATAACTTATTCTCATATACCTACATGAAGTTGATCTCAACTCCTAGTCAATGGCAAGGAACGTTTGCTTTTTAAAGTGTCTTAATTTAAAGCTATTTCACTGATTAAGAATACCAAAAATTGAAAAATTTGGAAGACAATTAACCGTTTATTAAATCGAAAACAAATGTATTTTCTACTTGGCTCAATGTTGTTCAAATCCGTAAATGGTGTTATTGTTCACTCTCTCGGTTCTAAATGCGTATTTTTCAAAAAATACTTACATTGTCTTTGATATGCATTTGTCTGTACTGTGGCAAAAATCATTTCTATACGAATGAAATAAAGATGCCTTGATAGAACAATGCATCAATGAAGGAAGAGGTTTATCAAGCATGCAGTTGTGAAAATTCTTTTGATTGTCACTAAAATTAATGCTTATATGCACCATCTTTTACTGACATGAACTTGATAGGGCAACTAAATGTTCAATGATTTCTGTAATCAGTGAATTTAGTTTCTGAAGACTTATAGCTACTGATGCGTCAATAAATGAATGAAGACGATTGTGTAGAAGTATTTAAATGACTGTGTTGATTAACTTGAATAATAACCTTAAGTGAACACAATAAATACAGTCAAAAGCTCATACAAAAGTTATAAACATATGTATTTTCTTATGACAAACTCGTTGTACTTGATTGATCTCTAAATCGTAGCAAATCATATACCTGCAGTGTGAATGAAAACCAATAAGATACGTAAAATTCCATCCTTCGAATGAAAAAGCATGTTGCGCGGTTTTTTCCTAAGAGATGTTAAATTCTTGCTATTACATTTACGCTAAAGGTTTTTTTGCATAACCAGTTGATTTTAAAGTAAAGTTAGTAATCTTTTAGCAAGATCAATGCTTGGAGACAAAAGAAGACCTTATTAATTATGGATGAATACCAGTTCTTTTAACGAGGCAAAATCTTTGACAATGCGATAAGTTATCACAATGTAGACGAAAGTATAGAATTATATTTTCGCAGTTGCTTCACATACCGTTAACCATTTCAGATTTTATAAAATTATTAGAAGTTATTGATTCTGCGCAATCGAAATCATCCTTAAGAATGAAACTACTGTCAACATCAGAGATTTGATTGGCTCAAATTTAAATATACTTGCATTTAATGGACAGTTAAAACAGTCTTCTATCATTGTAACTGCAGCCAGGCATGGCAGATATTTTCTAGTAAGAGAAGTGCTTTAGCCAAACCGTATGGGTCTCGTGCTATTTTAGTAATTCAGTATTTACTTACTGCAGAAAAGGAGATTTATAAAGATATAATACATGTGATCTGAAATTTACATAACATGACCAAACCTGCGCGACACTGGTACTGAATTAGAGGCTGCATCGATTTTGCACTGGAGACTATACGTACTTAAATATCACATTTCGCTAAACAAGTCACTTTGGAAAACACATGCTATTATTTGAATATATGAAATATCTTATGAAAATAATTTCACAATTTGTTTTGACGGAGGTACATATTTTCATCAGTAAATTACGACCAGCTACACTATTTATAGAACAATATAATTAAATGACACAAAGCAGCTGTACTATGTAGACTGAAAACTCCGTGTAGAGATTCATTAAACAATAAACCACATGCCCGTATTGTGTGCAGTTTAAGTTCGAGCACTTGTTTTCGTACATGGCTGATTACTAAACGATGAAATATTTTTTTAATGGCAATGTAACTGTTTCATTGTTTAACGGAAACATTGAGTGAAAATGTCAACATGTGATTGATAATATGGAATATCAGACACGGCATGAAAAAGGGAAAACGAGTCTTTTTCAGTCCCTTGAAACGTTCAAAATTGACAAGAATTATTTATGTACTTTATATAGCAATTGTTCTATTTATTTGTATGATACTCTTAACTCCGCGAATCGTGGGATTGTTTCAAAGAATTTTCTGTCGGACTTTTAACAAAAATTTTTGCGAGGTGCTTATCGGCTATGATGCCGTGTACAGGATTGGTTTTGCATTGGCTGTTTGGTTTTTTGTTTTGTCACTCCTAACACTTGGTATATCATCAAGTATTGACGAAAGAGCGCCAATCCAAAATGGATGTTGGTTGTTAAAGACAACGGGACTAATAATTTTGGCTGTCATTTTTGTGTACATACCACACAGCGAATATAATGGGGAAATTTGGTTATTTTTCGGCTTAAATGCTGCATTTTGTTTCATCATCCTTCAGTATGCGTTCATCCTCGATGCTTCAAACTATCTTTGTGTTGTGTATGAAGAAATAATCAAGAATAAGTCTTTTCCATACTCATCGTACATTATGGCTTCATTTGAAGCTGCAAAAACAGTCACAACGATTTTCTTGTTCATCGTGTCGTTAACTTCGTGCATTGTATTCTACTTCATTTACGCATCTTTCAACCGATGCTTTCATAACTTCGTTTTCTTAACTTTTCACCTCATCATGTGCATTGCGTCATCGTTGATCTCTACACTTCCTGTTGTACGCGACGCCAATCCGCATATAGGCCTGTTTCAGTGCTCCGTCACATCGTTATACTGCACCTATGTGATGTGGTTAGCATTCTCAAGTGAACCGAATGCGAGGTGCAATCCTTCGAGTCCCATCAATATCCCTCATCACCTGTGACGAACATTCAGACCTGGGTGACCCTTGTCACTACCTTCACTGTTTTTGGGTATATTAGTTTTCGAGATTTTACCCATGCACAGTTTTGCGAAGTTGAGCCGGCGATTCAGGATTCTGTGACACGAGATAAATCAAATGTTTCCAATGGAATGGAAGATACCCAAGTCCATGATGGTACAGCTGCAATCATCTCAAAACAGCTGACGCGAACGAGTAACGTCGTTTGCAATGGTTACTCGGAAATTTGTGAAGATAAAAAGAAAGCAAACTTGTTCTTGGAAAACCAAAAATACTGTTGTTTTTGTTCAAGTAGTCAATTTACTAAAAGTCCTAATGAACGTTCACCTGTGGAATCCGAGGAAGGTTTGGCATGGGATGACACATTTCTTTCATCTGATGCATCTCACAAAGAAGAGAACTTTGCTTCAAATTTATTCCATTCTTCTCCAATAGAATTGAACATTGCAGAAAACAAGCATTTCACGCATGCGCAAAGAAAGTCTGGAGATTATGAAACTTGTTGCAGCCGTAATGAACTGGGCACACGTTCACCTCCACCAATGAATCATTATTGTTCTGCAAAGAGCAAATGAATACATTTGAAACACCTGCGAGTGGGTTGATAACAATATTGAACGATGAGATTGATGGAACTGAGTACAGTTATTCTTTCATTCATTTGACGTTTACTTTAGCAACATTATATCTCGTCATGTCTATTACGAACTGGTATAGATTAGATGAAGGACAATATCTTACAGTGAGACTGGTGCGAAGCTGGAGTACGGTATGGCTGAGAATATCTGCAAGCATCTTTTGTTCGTTTATCCTTATATGGTCCATGGTTGTACCCCTGATGTTTCCCAATACATACCAGGATCTTCTTTTCTTTCAGTATTTGACATCGTTACCGCCATAGGGATCTCGCCCGAATTGTTTTGTTGACTCTTCCTGCTCCATTGTTCACTTTTTTATTTCATGTGCTCATTCTTCTACCATTTGTGTCTACGTTTATAACTCATTTTCTTATCCTTCTAGCTTATATGCTCACCCTTCTACATCATTTTGACTCGTCTATCTTATACATTCACTCTTTTAGCTCTTCCCTCTACTTTCCTAACACTTGTACTTCACCTACTAGACTAAAAACTGCCGTGTCGTGTCACATCAATTGTATGAAATTCAACAGTCGTTTAGGTTCATTGGATGGGGTCCTTGGGATGAATAAGACTAACAGTTTTTGAGAGAGAATATATCCTTTCTGGGCCGTGCTACGTTTTTCTCATTGCGCATGTGTATTCTATTTCTGTTGATGCAAGATGTACGTGCACGTCAAATCGACGAATTCCTCAAAATGCTTCAAATTCAAGTATATTGTTGAATTCTCACTATCTATACGTATAATTACATTGAAGTCATGAACGTGGTTTTGAGTATATTTGCTACATCGAATGTATTCACACTCTCAACTTTCTTTTTTCGAAGCTGAATTGGTCTACAGAGTTATGTTAACTGAGTATATAATATTCCTTAATCAGCGTTCAAACTATGAAGGGGCCTGTAAAGAAGTCATATCAATTTCAACAAAATTAAGTACAGATTATTTGAAAACGATAAACTAGTTGATATTTTGCATAATCAGTGAATATATACATGCAATATTTTTACAAGATTTTGGATGAGCTCAAACGTTGTGAGCTTTGTAACTTTATAAAGAAGAAGTTCATTTGAACAAATGTAAAAATACAATTATAAATCTCGCTTTAACAAATATTGATGCTGATTTGTTTGAGGATTCCTTCACAAAGTACTCTCTTGATTCTTTCTTTTGACTCCAGCAAGCAAGTTTGACAATTATGTTTTGGATTGCTTCGAAGTTGGAAGCAATCCAAAACATAACTGGCAATCACTACTCAATTTCACTGCTCTATCTCATGTCCTTCTTGGTACGGCTGTCGTTGATTTCTTCCAATGCTATCTGTTCAAACCTTAGCTATGAGTATGACATTTTGTTTACATTACAAACAAAATAAATTTTGTTTTATTATATTATTATATTGCATGTATTTATATACAATGTACATTATCAAAATAATATACAAAAAACATCAAAGTTAAACCTATTCCTATTGTATAATGACTGCATAACATTACAGCATAAATACAACTTTATAAAGTCATAATACTTTGAAAAGTCATTTGTGAGTTAAAGTTGTCTTTTATTTAAAATTTTCTTCCTCCGCGAAAATTATTTCAGCAATCAATTCGTTAAGGCGAATATTTAAATTTATTCTATTTTCAAATGTGCATGTGAAAATACAATTTCCATACCTCCAAATTATTCGGATCATGTTGGGCTTTTCAGAGGATATCCATGTTCAGTTGTATCTGTATATGAAATAAAAGTGAATTGTTCCACTGAATAGTATCACCACTATAAATGATACATCATTCACTATAAATCTCCTTAATCACTATTTCTATAAATCTACGTTACCACAATTTTACTTACTGTTTGAATGGGGTATCAAATGTGGAAGCGTCCTTTTGCGCGATCAATATCTTCAAATCTTCTTACTGCGATCGTTACAAGAACAGCTTTCTTGACTCTTTTTTGTATTCTTCCATAGTGTTTGGATTCAGCTTTGAATTCATATCTGAAAAAAAGATCAAGAGGAGAAAGCTCTTTCGGCAAGTGATCATAAATGTAAATGACGTATTTTGTTATTGGGGAATACCCTACACTTCAGTAGAATGTTTTGATACTGAGGCTCTCAGCTATTTAGGAATGAACCAAAGAATTAACACTAAATTTGGTGAACTTTCCATCTAAATATTGTTTCATTGTCACAGTTCTTGCTTTAGTTGATTGTCAATTTTGAAATCACAACAATTTATTTTTACCGAAATTTTGATTGTTACTAAGAGTTATATTATGCGTAAATCCAAAACACGTAGTCTTTAACAGCAAATCAAACTATATATAAATACATATCTTCAAAAATAAACGCTGTTAAAATACCATACGTTGTTCGTGCGTAGCATATTGAAACAAACCAAACCTTTATAGTTTGATTGTATAGATACCATTTCTTCGCGTAGTTAATACCATAAAAGAAATAAAATGTAGTTCAAGCGACATTTTTGCTTTCTGATAAATTGACAAAGTAACTCTTACCTGGGCTCAAACAAAATAATTTGATTTAATTCAGTTAAACCTAGTTTTTATAACCTCAATTTGTTGACGTAATTCTACCTCAAAATTGGGTTTTTATCTAAACTATGGATTTCCCTCGACCTACAACTGGGGTCTCCCTTTTGAACATTTTATCTATTAGCGTGATAAAGTTGAATAGTTATGAAAATAAATTGGTAAAAAACGATCGATAGTTCTTAAACTTGGTTCTCGGAAATTTTGTCTGTGAGCAGGCATTCTAAGTGAATCACGTCTCCATGTATGAAAATTGCGTCATGCTATTTTGGGCTGATATCTACAAAAGTGATTTTGTGAATTTGTGGGGGTTTCCCTGTTCATTTTTATTGGAGAGTGATTGTCAGATTTCGCATTCTTTGTTTTTGGCGACTTCTTTATAAACTTTGTCAAACAAATGCCATCCCCTTAACTTACGTAAGTTTTTTTGTAAATTCAATCAAATACAACAAAGTCGATGAACATATTTGAACTAGTTGCGACAATTTCACATTTTAAAGTAGCTCAGACAATATGTCGAAACAAGGGTTATGTACGGTAATTAATCAAGTGTATGAGTTTCAAATTTCATATTATGATATTGTTTTTGCTACTCCCAATGAGAATTTGAGAATATGATTGATGTGCAGAAGTTGTTTTCGATTTTGTACTACCAACTGAATGTTTTTATCAAATCTATGTTTATAAATCGGTGTACAAAGTAAAGCTTGCCCATACAGTTAACGTGTAGCTCCTAGTTCCTGCGTGGTTTTGTTTTTGTCTTTGTGTAAATTGTACGCATGTGCTGTTCATGTTTTGACCTTTTGACCTTTGATGATTGAAGTGTAGAGGCCATGTATTTCTCATGCTGTTATATCAATATTGAGGTCTACCCTGTCTGGTGTAGATGTATTAATGTTTTCATGCATTTTGCAATTTGTTTTATGTTCAAATGCATCTTAAATGATGCATCATCAGTTGGTCTCAAGAACACACATTTGCTGAGAGGGGAGGGGAGGGGGGGCAGTCGGCGCGACCTCTATCTTTTGTGAAATATGCATAATAATTCGATCAATAAGCTGATAGAGGACGTGAAAAATTGCTGACACTAAAAAGTTGGTCCCATCTTCCAGAACGTAATACACCACTCCACAATTTTCAAGTATGTGCGCCCCTGAGCGTCGTCTCTCTTGAAATGACAATTTTTTGTCAAATGTCGTTTCTTATGTCCTTTAAAAAGGACGATGTTTTCAAGTTTTGATCTGGTCTTATAACAGCCCAAGATATATCTAATGATACATTTTCCTAACAGCACCATCATTGTTAATACAAGATTTGAATAGTTTAGGACTTAACCTTAAAAAATTAGTGCGATATTTACTTTATTTCAGCTTATATCATGTTGTTAATAATAAGTTGACTGAGCTTATTGCAAGTAATGCTTTTAGTGGGGCACCTTAATCTTGTTTTCTATTTCTCAACTTAATTATGACGTATAATTAATATATAATTATGACTTTGACTCATAATTATGATTTATAATTTATGATTTATGATTTATGACTTATTGTGACATAATTATGACTTATAATTAACTTGATTAGGATTTTGCCTGACGATGACCTTGAAAGGAAGTCGAAAGGATTGCATTCACTTGCTTTCTCTTGTTGTATACAACTCAAATGCTCAAATTTTTAGTTTAAGAAACGATGCTATTGGGAAATGGGAACGTGTTTTATTATAAAAAACTGACAATAATCGTGGAAGATATTATATGATTTGAAGCATGTTCGTGAAGCTTGAATACACTCATATGACTCAATTCAATGTTTTAATATACTTGTTTCCCTAAAAAAAACAGGTTTCTATGTAAATCCCTGCTTGATTTCAAAGAACTACGTCAAGAAACCGAAGAAATCATTCGTTTTGTATTAGCCAATGAAATGCTTAGTTTTGTTTTCAATTGCTCTTTCAAATTAGATTGCTCACATGAGCATAGCATATTTATTGTCTGAGATGCAAATTAGTAATAAGCTGTTTTCTGCTATTGTGAACTTTCAATCACATGTGAATATCATGTGTTTCAGTCCCGGCTCATACCAGAACAAAATGGCAACCTGTACATCGGTTCTGATTTTATATCTATGCTGTACATTTATTTCGGTTGATGGTACCAATCCTGGTATAATAATTCAAGTTACCAATAAAGGTTTAGCCTATGGTAAGTTATTGTGTCTGTGTGTGTATATCAGCACATGTATTTGTAGCGTTCATGAGCTGTGAACAAAGTTAATTCGTGTTAACTTCCGTGCTCTGTATGATGGTAAAAGCTTCTTTTACACACTTAAATACAACTTGAAATGAGAGGATTTTGTTGTGATAACTAGCATCCTCTAATGAGATAAGGCTTACTTCGTCTTATATTAACTATCGATCATATCGGAGCATTTTGAAGAAAAGTCCATGTTGTATTATTGATTCCATTCTTATCAAAAAGCCTCTGCAAAGTATATAAAGGTGCATGAAATTATAGATTAACACAAGAAAACTATGTGAATATAGGTGAATAATTATATATATTTACAAACAGTCTATTTCTGGTCTTTGCTTGATTGCAAATAGCATTGAGTAAAATCGGCGACGTTGAGTGAAGGGGTTCGGTTAAAAGCATCATGATCAAAAATACAATCTTAAACTTACGGAAACTTGCAATCATTGCTTATACCTGGTAATATTTTGACGTTTGATAGTTTCGAAACGAAAGAATATTTAAGGGCGAAGTGATATCCCTCCCGCAGTGTCAATGTTTGCTGTATAAGCAGTATATAACTATTCAGAATCTTTATTATTTTGCAATATATGTATTACCTTCAAAAAATGTTGTCATGTGTGATATAGCATGTCAATTTCGATTAAGTTTTGAAAGTATCCTAGTTGGTGCAGCTAATATAATTAATGGTTAAGTTTATTTGTTGAAAGAGAAACGCATCAACCGACTGCTGATTATGTGTCGTCGGTGAATGTCTCTTTTCGATTCTTCTAATGAAACTGCCAAGTCACTTGACTCTTATTCTACGTTTTGTGAAATGAACATATGTATACTGGCTAAAAGCTTCTCAAAAAGATCTCCATTTGCTGGGTGCAGTAAGCGTTGGCTTTTTCATCGAACCTTGCAATGACGTTGTGTTCTTCAAAAGCATGAATGTTTGAAAATTGGACTCGCTTTAAGTGGGGCATCTGTGTTTTGTTTTGTATTTTCGACAAAATCAACACTATCATTGACAGTAAAGTGTTTCCTATGGCAACGTTCTAGGTGGAAAGGTTTTACTTTCTTTATATAAAGTAAATGGTTTGAACCCGGGAGTATCGTTGCATGTTTGTAGATTTAGATCGTCGAGGTTGGAATAGTCCTGAGAAGGACTGTTTTTGTTGTTGTCGAAACGTCAGTCAACAACAACAAAAACAGTCCTTCTCAGGACTATACCAACCTGAACGATCTAAATCTACAAACATGTAACAAACATTTCTTCATATAGTTGATAAAGTTGCTACTGGAGTATTGATCGACAAATTAAAGACAACCACGGTTAAGGATGTTTCTGGAGACACCGATACTCCCCTTGGACACTTTGACTACGATCTAAGCAGGTAGTGTTTGTTCATTATCGATAGTGCTATGTCACAAGACAACGATTACAAACAATGAGTAATATAATTAAGATTGCAAATTTGAAGTTATCTCCGTTCCCATTGTGCAAATGTGAATCATGTATTAGCCTTATTAGTCTCTTTGTGTTTAACACAAGCTTTTTCGCCCAAGAAAAATGCAGAACTTGTTGAATAATGAATATCGTATTATGTTTTGGTCAATTTCCCATTGCTATAACTTAAGACGTGAAAGGACACATTTCTGAGAACCTAAGCAACAAACTTTCCGCGAAATCAAAAAATGTTTTTGCGAACCGAAGCACAACTTTTCTGCGAACCAAAATCAAATGTTTCCTGCGTATTAAGCCAATTATTTTTGGGAAACTAAACAATAAGTTTCCTGCGAAACCAAGCCACAAATTCTCTGCAAAACCAACACGAATTTTGACTTGGAAGGAAGGGGTTAATTTAAATAGCTTGTGATACAGTTGGACCTATTTATCGAAATTTAGAAACCAATCTGTCACAACTATAATAATCATACACCAATCCTTCATAATGACAACAAAGGCGTTTCTATCAGAAAATCAAAGTTGACTACTGAAGTAAGCTTACTGCGATAAATGTCCCAGTTGTTATATAGTTAAAAAATGCCTTGCAATTGGTAAAGGTAAACTTGTCCTAATGCTGTCAACAATGAATTTTCAGTATCCATTGTACTGCCGTCTCCATCGCCACGTCGTCTCTCAAAACAGTTCCTGGATTGGGCTTAAGCCTCTCAGCATCCGGTGTCTCGGTATCTTTCAACGGACACTGGCACTACAGAAAGAAGCATTGGTACAATGTTTTTCTTCTCTCGTTCTGTTTGTATTTCATCCAAGATAATTATTGAATGAGTTAGAATATTTACTCAATCAGAAACAAGTAAAAGCAAGAATACTCAAAAGAGCATAAAGCAACCACTGGCGTAGATGTTGTACGTGTCTACGATTTGGCTCATGTTATGTTTATGTATCATCATTAGCATTGTTTATTTTGTTGGAAATCCATTTTTATAATGAGTGAACACCGAAATATTTAGGTTGATACAAACGTGGAAAAAACGTTTAGCAAGAAGGTAGATATAAAGGTAAACATGAAGGTAGACACAGCCATTAAGGTTGACATGAAGGTAGATAAATAAAGGTAAACATGATATGAAGGTAGACTTAAATCCTAAAGATTGACACAAAGGTAAACATAAGGTAGACATAAAGGTAGACATAAAGACACTTAAAGGTTAGACAAAGGTGATAAAAGTATACAAAGGTAGACATAAAGGTAGACGTAAAGGTTAACACAAAAGTAGACCTAAAAGTAGTCATAACGGTAGACATAAAGGTAGACATAAAGGTAAACATAAAGGTGGACAAAAAGGTAGACATAAAGATAGACAAACAGGTAGACATTAAAGTAGACATAAAAGTAGACATAAAAGGAGACTCGAAGGTACACATAAAGGTAGACACATTGGCGTTTTTGACAATTTATAACAAAATAATTTCAACGTGTAAACGCCAAGTTACTGGTTATCAGTACGATATTAAATAAAATTCTCTTTACTCTAAACCTTTTCACAACGCCCAAAATAGCCCACCTTAAAGAGAATTAATAAGGTTTTTGCTGTGGTAAAACCAGACTTTGAATGTATGAATTGATGAAATGCCTTATATTTAGGCCCCACGTTAGCGACAGTGGTAACTTTGATATGTCAATTGATAGCGTCTCATTTACATTGAAAGTAAAAATTGGTATGTGTTAACCATTTGTATCAATGTTGGCTGTCAGCCAAACGAGCCCTTCATAAAAACCGATTCTGTAGACATGAGTAAATGTATTTGTTAATTCCTGTTGAAATTAAGAGTTTGTTTTGTTGTTTTTGTCGTTGTTCAAATTGTTCTTAATAATTCTCAATATCAAATTTGATTTGGTGGTATGTTGAGAGTTGGTCTATCATTGCCAATTGTTAAATTAACGATGAAGAATAAACTTGTCTAATAATGTAAAATGTATATAATTTTTTCATTCATAGGAGTCGACAAAGGTAAACCGACCATTTCCACGTCCTCTTGTACTGACAATATTGGTGACGTGAATGTCAAATTTCATGGAGGAGCAAGGTTCATTACGACTAGTTGTCACAGCAACACGTTTTGTTACTATTTAGCAACACGTTTTGTTACTATTTAGCAACACGTTTTGTTACTATTTAGCAACACGTTTTGTTACTATATAGCAACACGTTTTGTTACTATTTAGCAACACGTTTTGTTACTATTTAGCAACACGTTTTGTTACTATTTAGCAACACGTTTTGTTACACAGCAACATGTTTCGTTACATTCGTTTGGCGTTGTGTATATTACCCAAGTAAACTGTATATTGTTTTGGAAATCCTGTCATTCCTTCTTAATGGTTTTGGGTTTTTTTGATAAGCGCTTCAAATACGTCTAATTATGTATTAAGCTTTGCTCAATTGTTTACATAACTAACTGGTTAGTTTGTTGCATAGCATATTTCCGCTGTGTGTTCATATTGATTAGACCATTCCTACTATGGTTCATCTCTTGGACTTTTATGGTATCACAGCTTCATATAGTAATTACAATTATATATTTTACATAGTTGGCTGTACAATTTATTTCGACATAAAATTGGTGACTCGATCAAGTCTCAGCTAAATCCTATGGTAAGAGTTGGAACTTCCAACAGTTCTTACCTCTGAGAGCGTTATTGTAACTCGATGTGATACTGCTTTAGATTTGCGAGAAAGCGAGTAAGGCAATAAACGAAGACGCTAAATCGGCATTGGCGACATTTCCAGGTGAGCACGTCGTGTGAAATTTTGAATGATCTCATAGACCCAGCAATGAAAATTCTAATAGATCATATATAAATTTTTTGCTTGTACCATTTTTAGTGAGAAAACAGATCGATAAGTACGCTTTGATTGATTATTCTCTCATTCAAGCCCCATTGTTCAATGAAAGCTTAGTGGACATTTCCATAAAGGTTTTTGTTTTCACTCGTATTTAACAGTTACCACACTGATACAACATTTGCGGGGTTTCTTTTAGTTTTGATAAACGGAAGTATACCATTCAGTATATATACCAATGACCTTTATTTAATATTCGATGTAGTATAACGTATCTTGTGGTGGTCTGTGATGAAATCTTCTTTCTTTGTTTACACTAGACCCGTGCTTCAATTTTATTATTTTTAATCCTCTTTCAGTTTTATTACTACCGCTGAGTTGCTTGGAAGTGACAGTTCGTCCATGAAAACTTGCATAACCGTTCAGTTGTGTGTGTGGGGGGGGGCCCTGATTTTCCAAAGGGCACCAAGCTTCGAAGGAGGGTGGCGAATGAAAAGGAGGCAACATAAAATGTAGACAGAGCCCCGAAATTTAATTGTTGCCCAGGCCCCAATAATTTCTCTTCATGAAATGACATATTTAATCAGTGATAAAATATGAAAACGTTGTGATGTTATGGAAGATATTGAAAAAAGTTGTCACTTCACGGCGCATAGTTATTAATAGAAAAGGACTAAATCTAATATTTAAATTTAGATTTACAAATACAAATCAATTTACTTGTGAAAATCTCAATTGTAGTAGAGTGCTATGTTTTTGGTGGGGCATTCTAACCCGGAAAGCCTAAATCTTTTCTACTTTTTCTTCATTGTAGGGTGAGGTCATGTCGGCTTCTCATCCAACAGAATCTGGCCTTACTCCTACAGAGATAACGACCAATCAAACTTGCAGTAAAATGATTTGTATTTATATGACTAAGTACGTTGCAAACACCGCTGGACAAGTGTATTTCCAGGCAAATTTCTTCAAGATAAATGTTACTCCATCCGAGGTAATTTATACTTATGAATGAATAAATATTTTTCGATATACTTATGCATGCATGAATATTTTTAAATACTACATGTGCTAAATTTTTAAATACTAGTTATATTACTATGCATGCATGAACATTTTTTATTACTATTGGCTTGGAAATAACGTTTTCTATTGTATGCAACAAGTGAGTTGAAATCACGATTTCATTGTTTAAGAGCGTTGTGTAATGGCAATTGTACAGCAAATGAGTGCAATTTCTTTTCTTTTTATCTCATTTTAACTTTTAGGTTCCCCCATTATTCAAGTACCAGCTCAATACAGATTTGTTTAAGTTAATTGGGTTATCAGAAGTAAGTAAGCGTCCTCTGTTTTTATTTTTATTTTAGTGTTGGCTTTGGGTCAGATTGTCATGACAATAGTTTTTACATTTTAGATTATTAAGGTCAATGACTGCTATTCCTTTGTCATGTCCAATTTTACTACTGAATTTCTAATTCGAATTTGTTTTATCTTAAAAATTTAGCTGCGTGGCTCTGTAATTGAAATGAAGTGAAACATTATTAAACTTACTAATTCATAAACTGCATTTCCATCATCCAGTACATACCGTGTTTCCATGTATTTTATAAATTTTCACCACGTTCATTATTTCCAAAAGAATTCATTCAATTCAGGTGTATGACAAGTATCCCGATCGTCCGCTATACCTTCACCTTTACTGCACTCAGCCACCACGTCTTGCCATCAAATCAACTGGTTTATATGTTGCCATTTCTGGTAATGTTGAGGTCCTCGTTCTCACAAAGGAGTCCAACTTTGTCTTTTTGTTCACATTGGCCACGGTATGTAATTGAGAAGACCATGTGTACGCAAGTAGGGAGGGGAAGCTTAGTTTTAATGTTCTGTAATTTCATTAAATCCGTCTTAAATCGTGCTAAATTAACTAGTTTTTCCTTTGCCGAATGGAAATTTTGTTGCTTCAGTTCCATACGATGATCCAAATGTTTATAATAATAATTATTGTAGTTGTTGTAATATTCTATTCAGAAATGCAAAGAAAGGGGTTGCAACTCTTTATGACCCTCATAATTAATCAACACCACTTCATAGCCCCTATTTATCATAGTCCCAGGTTCTCTGATTATTGTCTTGATTATTTTCTATGGTGAATTGGTAAATCATCTCGGATGGTCTGAGGTAACTAAGATCAAACATGTTTGTCGATGTTGATCGTTCATGCATGTTAGTGCAGTTCAGAGAAGGACTGTTCGTGTTGATGTTTAGAGACGTTTAACATCCTGAGCGGTAGACATGAAAATGACTGTAAAAATCGAAGATGACTGCCGTAAAAGTATAGTTCAAACGTCAGTCAACACCAACACAAACAGCAACGCTGCTAGTCCTCCTTAGGATTGTATAAACCTGGACGCTCTACTTGTACAAACGTAACTCCTTAATTAGTCAAACTATACATAAATATCATGTTTGTTATCTGCAGAACATCACCGGCAATGGCGTTGCACAAGTCAATGAAACTTTGTTACAAGGATCAGTAAAGAATTTTGAGTGAGTGCAATGTGTCTCTCAAACAGACGTGTTCGCTGTCGAAGTTTCTTTTATAAAAAAGCCCTTTGATAATTGTATCTGAAGTTGGGCTTACCGTTGCACGCATGTGCACTGCAAAGTTTAGATGCGTGTTTGAAGAGCAATTTTTTTCATCAGGATTTACCTCATCACTTTATTTTGGTTGTTTGTGAAATAATTTTTGAAGAACAATACATTTTATCGAAGGGAAATTTCTATCTGAATATATAAACTAGTACAAATCTGTCAATGACTAATTTGGTCATAATTTAATTTTGCAGTGTCAAGTTTGCAGTTTTCAAATCAGCCGTTGGTGACATCAAGGTAACAAGATGCTTCATACACAGGAATTTAATATAGGAGGTTTTTTTTTCATAAAGAAACAATAAAAGTTTATGATAAACATTACTGACGAATTTGTACATATAGGTTATGTAACAATATCTCATGTTATATAACGACGGCAACACGGATGGGCCATGTTGTGAGTTTACACTAAACAAAACAGTGCCTTTGACACGTCCATACTCGGCCATTATTCACTACGGTACAACATACTTATATAAATACCCTCCCTCCCAATTATCGAGCTCGCAACAATACTATAAACACACAATAACAAAGAGTGCTTTATATATTAGAGCCATAAACAATCGCAACGATTACTTATAAACTGTTAATCTAAATGTTAACTCGTTCGCCTGGCGATTATCCAGAGGTGAATACGTTGTTGATATATATATATATACTGTTTGCTTTGTAATTTTTAGCCTCAAGTTGGAATCTTGAATATTCTTCTTCATCTTCTCGCCGAGAAAACCATTATCAAAATATTAAACGGTACGTGTGTTCATATTGCGGTAAGCGATCTCCCATACAAAAATAATTTCTTTGTTTTTTTTTGCTTTTTTTGAAATGGATCTTTGGTCGTACACTCTACATAGTTCAGTCAGCATATTTTAACATGTCACGTTTTAGAAAAAGGAGCAAAAGGCTTACCATTGCCTGTCGTTGATAAGGTTGCTTTGGAAAATCCTGAAATTGTTCTTGGCGAGGTAATGATACTTTTTCATATCGAAGCTTAATGTACATTGCAAATTATTACCAAAGCTTTATGGACATATCTTAGATAAAACAATAGTTATGTGTTCACTTTAATTCGATTGCGTAGATGAAATGCTGTTTCTGCTCATTTCCTTTCAACAGTTTTGCTTAAGACAGTATTCCAAAAATTCCATTTACGATTTTCAGAATTTCATTTCTTTCGACACTGATCTCAAGTACAAAGGATCATTAAAAGTCCCAGCAACGTTCCCTATTGTGGCATAAAGCTAAGTGATTTTGTTGTGGCATGAATGACGATCACTCGGTAAAATTTTTTAAAATTTTTTCTTATCAGTTTCATGCATTTAGAAATGCTCACGAAAATTTATTTCAGCTCATAAACTAAATTGTATTTTCATCAAAACTAAGTATAAGACTTAAGACTTGGACAAATTCGATAAAATGTACATGTTTAAAGTGCATGTTTTAAAGGACAAGCTACAACAGCTTGTTTTGATCAGATCCGGATCTTTATCCTCGAATTAAACACAAAAAAAACTTAGCAAAAAACAGGTATTAAATTTATTACATGAAAAGTAGAAGTATGAACGATTAAAACTACATGTGTTCAAAATATACACTTTTGAATCATTTGGAAATATGTGAACATCATTACGGTTAAAAAATCTGCTAAAATATGCTGTAGGTAGCTGTAGTTCTTCGTAACAGAACGTAGTTCTGGTTTGTAGTAACGACACCTTCGTGTGTGGTGTACATGCGCAGTTTCAACGTATTTAGCAGGTTAAGATCAGTGGTTAAGATTCTGTGTTATGTACAATCTTGGCCTTCGTTGGTGATAGTTCATCACGGCCAGCACGTGGATGAAAAAGATCAATCGTAAAGCAACGTTCCAAACATAAAATAGTATCCTTAAGGTTCTCAGGGACAATGATACGATAATATAACTGATAAATAAAATGGTAACTGTATTATGATCACAGTTCCATTGCAAAAATTCCATTGTAATTTTCTCACTTTACCTAATAAAGCCAAACTCTAGGTGTAATTTCCGAGTTCTGAGAATGCATCAGGATGCTTTCTATCATCAAAGGCAGCTGTGACAAGTTGCATTCAACCGTTTCAAAGCAAATATCGCAAATTCGTGTTTTAAACGTCCATTTCAAAAACCTTCATGACGGAAGAAGACAGTTCCTCAATTCGTTTCATGTTCTCGATCCTTCTTTCTGTGTATTCGGAAATATTCGCTCCAGAATCGACAAGGAGGGTAACCATCGAGAAATTCATCATGCGAAAAGCCAGGTCTAACGGTGCGAGTCCTTCGCAGTCTTTGGCGTCTACATCCATCCTGTTGCGCACATGCTATTATTTGAATATATGAAATATCTTATGAAAATAATTTCACAATTTGTTTTGACGGAGGTACATATTTTCATCAGTAAATTACGACCAGCTACACTATTTATAGAACAATATAATTAAATGACACAAAGCAGCTGTACCATGTAGACTGAAAACTCCGTGTAGAGATTCATTAAACAATAAACCACATGCCCGTATTGTGTGCAGTTTAAGTTCGAGCACTTGTTTTCGTACATGGCTGATTACTAAACGATGAAATATTTTTTTAATGGCAATGTAACTGTTTCATCGTTTAACGGAAACATTGAGTGAAAATGTCAACATGTGATTGATAATATGGAATATCAGACACGGCATGAAAAAGGGAAAACGAGTCTTTTTCGGTCCCTTGAAACGTTCAAAATTGACAAGAATTATTTATGTACTTTATATAGCAATTGTTCTATTTATTTGTATGATACTGTTAACTCCGCGAATCGTGGGATTGTTTCAAAGAATTTTCTGTCGGACTTTTAACAAAAATTTTTGCGAGGTGCTTGTCGGCTATGATGCCGTGTACAGGATTGGTTTTGCATTGGCTGTTTGGTTTTTTGTTTTGTCACTCCTAACACTTGGTATATCATCAAGTATTGACGAAAGAGCGCCAATCCAAAATGGATGTTGGTTGTTAAAGACAACGGGACTAATAATTTTGGCTGTCATTTTTGTGTACATACCACACAGCGAATATAATGGGGAAATTTGGTTATTTTTCGGCTTAAATGCTGCATTTTGTTTCATCATCCTTCAGTATGCGTTCATCCTCGATGCTTCAAACTATCTTTGTGTTGTGTATGAAGAAATAATCAAGAATAAGTCTTCTCCACACTCATCGTACATTATGGCTTCATTTGAAGCTGCAAAAACAGTCACAACGATTTTCTTGTTCAGCGTGTCGTTAACTTCGTGCATTGTATTCTACTTCATTTACGCATCTTTCAACCGATGCTTTCATAACTTCGTTTTCTTAACTTTTCACCTCATCATGTGCATTGCGTCATCGTTGATCTCTACACTTCCTGTTGTACGCGACGCCAACCCGCATATAGGCCTGTTTCAGTGCTCCGTCACATCGTTATACTGCACCTATGTGATGTGGTTAGCATTCTCAAGTGAACCGAATGCGAGGTGCAATCCTTCGGAGTCCCATCAATATCCCTCATCACCTGTGACGAACATTCAGACCTGGGTGACCCTTGTCACTACCTTCACTGTTTTTGGGTATATTAGTTTTCGAGATTTTACCCATGCACAGTTTTGCGAAGTTGAGCCGGCGATTCAGGATTCTGTGACACGAGATAAATCAAATGTTTCCAATGGAATGGAAGATACCCAAGTCCATGATGGTACAGCTGCAATCATCTCAAAACAGCTGACGCGAACGAGTAACGTCGTTTGCAATGGTTACTCGGAAATTTGTGAAGATAAAAGAAAGCAAACTTGTTCTTGGAAAACCAAAAATACTGTTGTTTTTGTTCAAGTAGTCAATTTACTAAAAGTCCTAATGAACGTTCACCTGTGGAATCCGAGGAAGGTTTGGCATGGGATGACACATTTCTTTCATCTGATGCATCTCACAAAGAAGAGAACTTTGCTTCAAATTTATTCCATTCTTCTCCAATAGAATTGAACATTGCAGAAAACAAGCATTTCACGCATGCGCAAAGAAAGTCTGGAGATTATGAAACTTGTTGCAGCCGTAATGAACTGGGCACACGTTCACCTCCACCAATGAATCATTATTGTTCTGCAAAAGAGCAAATGAATACATTTGAAACACCTGCGAGTGGGTTGATAACAATATTGAACGATGAGATTGATGGAACTGAGTACAGTTATTCTTTCATTCATTTGACGTTTACTTTAGCAACATTATATCTCGTCATGTCTATTACGAACTGGTATAGATTAGATGAAGGACAATATCTTACAGTGAGACTGGTGCGAAGCTGGAGTACGGTATGGCTGAGAATATCTGCAAGCATCTTTTGTTCGTTTATCCTTATATGGTCCATGGTTGTACCCCTGATGTTTCCCAATACATACCAGGATCTTCTTTTCTTTCAGTATTTGACATCGTTACCGCCATAGGGATCTCGCCCGAATTGTTTTGTTGACTCTTCCTGCTCCATTGTTCACTTTTTTATTTCATGTGCTCATTCTTCTACCATTTGTGTCTACGTTTATAACTCATTTTCTTATCCTTCTAGCTTATATGCTCACCCTTCTACATCATTTTGACTCGTCTATCTTATACATTCACTCTTTTAGCTCTTCCCTCTACTTTCCTAACACTTGTACTTCACCTACTAGACTAAAAACTGCCGTGTCGTGTCACATCAATTGTATGAAATTCAACAGTCGTTTAGGTTCATTGGATGGGGTCCTTGGGATGAATAAGACTAACAGTTTTTGAGAGAGAATATATCCTTTCTGGGCCGTGCTACGTTTTTCTCATTGCGCATGTGTATTCTATTTCTGTTGATGCAAGATGTACGTGCACGTCAAATCAACGAATTCCTCAAAATGCTTCAAATTCAAGTATATTGTTGAATTTCTCACTATCTATACGTATAATTACATTGAAGTCATGAACGTGGTTTTTGAGTATATTTGCTACATCGAATGTCTAACTACCCTCTCATTTTTCTTAATCATAGCGACGGGCTGAAGTACGTCTACCATTGTTATGTTTTGGATTGCTGGTAACATGACGCCTTGGTTCATGCCAACGATGATCCGGGGCCTGAGAAAGAAGTCAATTTCAACAAAATTAAGTACAGATTATATGAAAACGATAAACTAGTTGATATTTTGCGTAAAAGAAAAGGAAAACTATGTTACAAAAATTTCATATTCATATTTTCCTTATGCCCCACGCTAATTTTTCCAAATCGGATGCAAGTATGAAGCAAATGTACAAAATACAATTATAAATCACGCTTTAATTAAAATATCGATGCTGATTTGTTTGAGGATTCCTTCACAAAGTACTCTCTTGATTCTTTCTTTTTGACTCCAGCAAGCAAGTTTGACAATTATGTTTTGGATTGCTTCGAAGTTGGAAGCAATCCAAAACATAACTGGCAATCACTACTCAATTTCACTGCTCTATCTCATGTCCTTGATTGGCTGTCGTTGATTTCTTCCAATGCTATCTGTTCAAACCTTAGCTATGAGTTTATGACATTTTGCTTACACAAACTCATATATTTTGTTTTTATTATACATTATATTGCACATGTAGTTATATATATGACAATATCAAAAGGCATGTACATTACTCAGAAAATAAACCTAAAAATCAATAACCATTTATATGTATAACATAACAGCATAAAAACAACTTTATAAAGTCATAATACTTTGAAAAGTCATTTGTGAGTTAAAGTTGTCTTTAGTTTAAAATTTTCTTCCTCCGCGAAAATTATTTCAGCAATCAACTCTCGTTAACGCTACATATTTAAATGTATTCTGTATGCAAATGTGCATGTGAAATTACCATACCTCCAAATTATTCGGATCATGCTGGGGCTGTTTCAGAGGATATCCTTTGTCAGTTGTATCTATGCATAAAATAAACGCAGACCTTCAAAATGAACACTATTCGCAATTAAATCTGTCAGAACTCTTTTCTAGTAACATAACAATATTGTATTTACATGTTGGAGCCGGTCTCTCCAATGTTGAAGCCGGTCCCTCCAATGTGCGAACATTTTTTTCCTCAAAAATATTCTTCAAATCTTTCTTACTGCAAAAATTACAGCAGCAACTTTCATGGACTCTTTTTTTGTATTCTTCCATAGTGTTTGGATTCAGCTTTGAATTCATATCTGAAAAAATGACGATAAGAGGGAGAAAGCGCCTTTCGGCAAGTGATCATAAATGTAAATGACGTATTTTGTTACACCGGGGAATTCCCTACACAGACTTGAATCTTGTTGATTGAACAGAAGGCTTTTAATAAAATAGAAACTTCAAACAACGAAAAGGCGTTGGTGAATCTTGCCATATTTCTATTCGATTTCATGTCACAGTTCTTAGAATGAAAACAGCCTTTACATCAAGATTTTTTACCAAAATTATTTAGTTATTAGCTACTTTTTTGTGTCTAAGAGTTATATTATGCGTAAATCCAAAAACACGTAGTCCTTAAATGTGCAAATCAAACTATATATAAATACATATCTTCAAAAATAAATCGCTGTTAAAATACCATACGTTGTTCGTGCGTAGCATATTGAAATAAAACAAACCTTTATAGTTTGATTGTATAGATACCATTTCTTCGCGTAGTTAATACCATAAAAAGAAATAAAATGTAGTTCAAGCGACAGGTTTTTGCTTTCTGATAAATTGACAAAGTAACTCTTACCTGGAGCTCAAACAAAAATTTGCTTTTACCTCAGTTAAACCCAGTTCTTTAAACCTCAATTTGTTGATGTAATTCTACCATTCATCCAATCATTGAGCTTATTTCTCGGGAATCCCATATTAAATTTATCTGAACTATGGATTTCCCTCGACCAGAGAATGCCACTCAACTGGGGGGTCTCCCTTTTGAACATTTTATCTATTAGCGTGACAAAGTTGAATAGTTATGAAAATAAATTGGTAAAAAACGATCGAGAGTTCTTAAACTTGGTTCTCGGAAATTTTGTCTGTGAGCAGGCATTCTACGTGAATCACGTCTCCATGTATGAAAATTTCGTCATGCTATTTTGGGCTGATATCTAGAAAAGGGATTTTGTGAATTTGTGGGGGCTCCCCTGTTCATTTTTATTGGAGAGAGATTGTCAGATTTCACATTCTTTGTTTTTGGCGACTTCATTATAAACTTTGTCAAACAAATGCTATCCCCTTAACTTACATAAGTTTTTTGTAAATTCAATCGAATACAACAAAGTCGATGAACATATTTGAACGAGTTGCGACAATTTCACCTTGTAAAGTAGCTCAGACAATATGTCGAAACAAGGGTTATGTACGGTAATTAATCAAGTGTATGAGTTTCAAATTTCATATTATGATATTGTTTTTGCTACTCCCAATGAGAATTTGAGAATATGATTGATGTGCAGAAGTTGTTTTCGATTTTGTACTACCAACTGAATGTTTTATCAAATCTATGTTTATAAATCGGTGTACAAAGTAAAGCTTGCCCATACAGTTAACGTGTAGCTCCTAGTTCCTGCGTGGTTTTGTTTTTGTCTTTGTGTAAATTGTACGCATGTGCTGTTCATGTTTTGACCTTTTGACCTTTGATGATTGAAGTGTAGAGGCCATGTATTTCTCATGCTGTTATATCAATATTGAGGTCTACCCTGTCTGGTGTAGATGTATTAATGTTTTCATGCATTTTGCAATTTGTTTTATGTTCAAATGCATCTTAAATGATGCATCATCAGTTGGTCTCAAGAACACACATTTGTTGAGAGGGGGGGGGGCAGTCGGCGCCACCCCTATCTTTCGTGAAATATACATAATAATTCGATCAATAAGCTGATAGAGGACGTGAAAAGTCGGTTCGGTGAAATTGCTGACACTAAAAAGTTGGTCCCATCTTCCAGAACGTAATACACCACTCCACAATTTTCAATTATGTGCGCCCCTGAGCGTCGTCTCTCTTGAAATGACAATTTTTAGTCAAATGTCGTTTCTTATGTCCTTTAAAAATGACGATGTTTTCAAGTTTTGATCTGGTCTTATAACAGCCCAAGATATATATAATGATACATATTCCTAACAGCACCATGATTGTAAACACAAGATTTGAATAGTTTAAGAATTAACAATAAAAATTAGTGCGATATTTACTTCATTTCAGCTTATATCATGTTGTTAATAATAAGTTGACTGAGCTTATTGCAAGTAATGCTTTTAGTGGGGCACCTTAATCTTGTTTTCTATTTCTCAACTTAATTATGACGTATAATTAATATATAATTATGACTTTGACTCATAATTATGATTTATAATTTATGATTTATGATTTATGACTTATTGTGACATAATTATGATTTATAATTAACTTGATTAGGATTTTGCCTGACGATGACCTTGAAAGGAAGTCGAAAGGATTGCATTCACTTGCTTTCTCTTGTTGTATACAACTCGAATGCTCAAATTTTTAGTTTAAGAAACGATGCTATTGGGAAATGGGAACGTGTTTTATTATAAAAAACTGACAATAATCGTGGAAGATATTATATGATTTGAAGCATGTTCGTGAAGCTTGAATACACTCATATGACTCAATTCAAATGTTTTAATATACTTGTTTCCTTAAAAAAAAACAGGTTTCTATGTAAATCCCTGCTTGATTTCAAAGAACGACGTCAAGAAACCGAAGAAATCATTCGTTTTGTATTAGCCAATGAAATGCTTAGTTTTGTTTTCAATTGCTCTTGCAAATTAGATTGCTCACATGAGCATAGCATATTTATTGTCTGAGATGCAAATTAGTAATAAGCTGTTTTCTGCTATTGTGAACATTCAATCACATGTGAATATCATGTGTTTCAGTCCCGGCTCATACCAGAACAAAATGGCAACCTGTATATCGGTTCTGATTTTATATCTATGCTGTACATTTATTTCGGTTGATGGTACCAATCCTGGTATAATAATTCAAGTTACCAATAAAGGTTTAGCCTATGGTAAGTTATTGTGTCAGTGTGTGTATATCAGCATATGTATTTGTATCGTTCATGAGCTGTGAACAAAGTTAACTCGTGTTAACTTCCGTGCTCTGTATGCTGGTAAAAGCTTCTTTTACACACTTAAATACAACTTGAAATGAGAGGATTTTGTTGTGATAAGTAGCATCCTCTAATGAGATAAGGTTTTCTTCGTCTTATATTAACTATCGATCATATCGGAGCATTTTGAAGAAAAGTCCATGTTGTATTATTGATTCCATTCTTATCAAAAAGCCTCTGCAAAGTAGATAAAGGTGCATGAAGTTATAGATTAACACAAGAAAACTATGTGAATATAGGTGAATAATTATATATATTTACAAACAGTCTATTTCTGGTCTTTACATTTTCGCATATTTGATTTGCTTGATTGCAAATAGCATTGAGTAAAATCGGCGACGTTGAGTGAGGGGTTCGGTCAAAAACATCATGATCAAAAATACAATCTTAAACTGACGGAAACTTGCAATCATTGTTTATACTCGGTAATATTTTGACGTTTTATTGTTTCGAAACTAAAGAGTAATGAAGGGCGAAGTGATATCCCTCCCGCAGTGTCAATGTTTGCTGTGTAAGCAGTATATAACTATTCAGAATCTTTATTATTTTGCAATATATGTATTACCTTCAAAAAATGTTGTCATGTGTGATATAGCATGTCAATTTCGATTAAGTTTTGAAAGTATCCTAGTTGGTGCAGCTAATATAATTAATGGTTAAGTTTATTTGTTGAAAGAGAAACGCATCAACCGACTGCTGATTATGTGTCGTCGGTGAATGTCTCTTTTCGATTCTTCTAATGAAACTGCCAAGTCACTTGACTCTTTTATTCAACGTTTTGTTATGTGTCGTCGGTGAATGTCTCTTTTCGATTCTTCTAATGAAACTGCCAAGTCACTTTACTCTTTTATTCAACGTTTTGTGAAACGGGCATATGTATACTAGCTAAAAGCTTCACAAGAAGATCTCCATTTGTTGGGTGCAATAAGCGTCGGCTTTTTTATCGAACCTTGCAATGACGTTGTGTTCTTCAAAAGCATGAATGTTTGAAAATTGGACTCACTTTAAGTGGGGCATCTGTGTTTTGTTTTGTATTTTCGACAAAATCAACACTATCATTGACAGTAAAGTGTTTCCTATGGCAACGTCTAGGTGGAAAGGTTTTTCTTTATATAAAGTAAATGGTTTGGACCCAGGAGTATCGTTACATGTTTGTAGATTTAGATCGTCCAGGTTGGTATAGTCCTGAGAAGGACTGTTTTTGTTGTTGTTGACTGACGTTTCGACAACTTTAGCGATAGTCATCTTCAGAGTCAAAAAAGTCTTCAGAGTCTTCAAATCTTCAAATTTTCAGAGTCTTTTTTGACTCTGAAGATGACTACCGCTAAAGTTGTCGAAACGTCAGTCAACAACAACAAAAACAGTCCTTCTCAGGACTATACCTACCTGAACGATCTAAATCTACAAACATGTAACAAACATTTCTTTATATAGTTGATAAAGTCGCTACTGGAGTATTCATCGACAAATTAAAGACAACCACGGTTAAGGATATTTCTGGAGACACCGATACTCCCCTTGGACACTTTGACTACGATCTAAGCAGGTAGTGTTTGTTCATTATCGATAGTGCTATGTCACAAGACAAAGATTACAAACAATAAGTAATATAATTAAGATTGCAAATTTGAAGTTATTTCCGTTCCCATTGTGCAAATGTGAATCATGTATTAGCCTTATTAGTCTCTTTGTGTTTAACACAAGCTTTTTCGCCCAAGAAAAATGCAGAACTTGTTGAATAATGAATATTGTATTATGTTTAGGTCAATTTCCCATTGCTATAACTTAAGACGTGAAACGACACATTTCTGAAAACCTAAGCCACAAATTTTCCGCGAAATCAAATAATGTTTTTGCGAACGGAAGCACAACTTTTCTGCGAACCAAAATCAAATGTTTCCTGCGTATTAAGCAAATTATTTTTGGGAAACTAAACAATAAGTTTCCTGCGAAACCAAGCCACAAATTTTTCTGCGAAACCAACACGAATCTTGACTTGGAAGGAAGGGGTTAATTTAAATAACCTGTGATACAGTTGGCCCTATTTATCGAAATTTCGAAACCAATATGTCACAACTATAATAATCATACACCAATCCTTCATAATGACAACAAGGGCGTTTCTATCAGGAAATCAAAGTTGACTACTGAAGTAAGCTTACTGCGATAAATGCCCCAGTTGTTATATAGTTAAAAAATGCCTTGCAATTGGTAAAGGTAAACTTGTCCTAATGCTGTCAACAATGAATTTTCAGTATCCATTGTACTGCCGTCTCCATCGCCACGTGGTCTCTCAGAACAGTTCCTGGATTGGGCTTAAGCCTCTCGGCATCCGGTGTCTCGGTATCTTTCAACGGACACTGGCACTACAGAAAGAAGCATTGGTACAATGTTTTTCTTCTCTCGTTCTGTTTGTCTTTCATCCAAGATAATTATTGAATGAGCTAGAATATTTACTCAATCAGAAACAAGTAAAAGCAAGAATACTCAAAAGGGCATAAAGCAGCCACTGGCGTAGATGTCGTAGATGTCTACGATTTGGCTCATGTTATGTTTATGTATCATCATTAGCATTGTTTATTTTGTTGGAAATCCATTTTTATAATGAGTGAACACCGAAATATTTAGGTTGATACAAACGTGGAAAAAACGTTTAGCAAGAAGGTAGATATAAAGGTAAACATAA